CTTCTTTTTTGCTTTCATGGCGCCTTCCCTTGCAATGGAGAGAGTATTTGAAAAGGTTATGAAACTTATTTTTTAAGGATTTTTTTATTGAATTTTTTTTATTTTAAATTATTTATTTTAGTAAAAATACTAAAATAAATAATTTAAAATAAAAAAATAAAATTTAATAAAAAATATATTAAAACTCACTCTCAAATACCCCTTCAAGAAATTTTAGCATCGTTGTTTTTAAGAAAACTATTTACCTACAATTATTAACATTAACAATTAACAAATTAACATTAAAAAAACTATATAAAAAAAGGAGTGTTTTACTGTAGATATTCAAATAAAATATTTTCCATTTTTTCTTGATATATTTTTTTATAACCAATATATTTCTTAATACCAATTTTATTATATAACCTCGAGTTTATTGTGAATTAAATTTTATATTTTTTAATTTATTTTTTATAAAATTATTCTAATTTTATGGTGCCATAATGGTAAGTTTAACAGTTTAACCCTGTTTACTTGAGTTTTTATTTTATTTTTTTAGTTAATTTTTAAAAAAATTAGATTAACTGAGAATTATGTTTTGTGATTTTTTTTATGATTTTCTATAAAGTTATTTTTATTTCGTGACTCGGGTTAAAAGTTTAATGGACTAACTCATATTGACTCGAATTATTTTTTATATGCTTTTTTAACTAGTTTTTTCAATTTTATTTGTTAAAACTGGATTCATTGAGAAATGATCATTATAATTTATTTATTTTACATTGTCTTGGTCTTTTAACTCGAGATATAAATTTGTCAAGTTAACTCAAATTTACTTGAGTTATTATTTTTTGTTATTTTTTCAATCATTTTTTTTTCAAGTTTCACAACTCAGTATTTGAGTTTATTGTAAATTAGTTTTTATAATTTATCGTGATTTGCTTTTAATAAAGTTATTATTGTCACGTAACTCGACATGCGGGTTAACAAATTAACTCAGATTGATTCGGTATGTTATTGTCATGGTATTTATATAAAAAAATATCATCTTAAATATTTATTTTCTAACTAAATTATATTTTTATTAATTACCTAGGTTATTTTTTGACCCTTTAGGTTAATTGGTGAATTTTCATATGTTTTTTTATTATAAAAAATATTTACAATACCTTAATATTTTTTATTTTTTATGTTGATTTTTTAATCCGGCCATGACGATCTTTCAACACTGAGTCAATGTTATTTTCAAATTATTTTAGAATAGATTGGTTTTTCCAATTCTCTAGAATAATTAAACTACTTAAATATGCCGAAACAAAAAAGTGTGGCTTAACCCTGAGCAGGGGTTTTTATATTTTTTTGTTTTCCTATTAAAATTAAATTACTCAATTACCTTTCATTTCAAAATTAACAAAGCTAGTATTTAGGAGTGTGTTAGTTTTTTTATTGTGTTTTTTATGTTGATGTCAAGTTAATTTAAGAATTTTTATATTTTAATAAATGTTTAATGTAAAAAGAAAAAATTCTATCACTACATATAAAATTATTTGATTATAAAACATTATTTTTCACGGTAATGTCTGAAACGTCTCGGCATGTCTTGTTTATGATAAACAATCTTGGTAATTATCTAGATGGTGGCCAAGTGGTAAGGATTTGGGATCAACGGGTTTGCTCCCTCTGTGATCTCAGATTCAAATTCTTGGTTGCTCATATGATGGCTACTGGAGGCTTACACGGTCGTTAATTTCAAGGCCCGTGGGATTAGTCGTGATGCGCGCAAGCTGACCCAAACACCCACGTTAATATAAAAAAAAAAAACAATCTTGTGTCATTTAACATGCTTAGAGTTTATTTATTGTTACTTTCAAATCAATAAACCCTTCACGCTTGGTCGATTTTAATTCTATATTATCACGTAAGCTTCCATTTATTGCTTTTTGTTAGGGTTATCTCCCCTGACAGCATTTCTTTTTCATGGAAATCATGCTTGCATCCACTATAATTTCAGAAGTCGGTTAGAAAATCTTCCACGTACATTCACTCGTTTAATTACATAATTAATATTCTAATTTTTTCTTCATAAAAATCAAGCTTCCATTTATTATAATAACAAAACACTGCTAGAATTTATTTTATCTAAAAAAAAACAATAAAAGCTCAAGCAAGAAATATTTTGTTGTTGTTTACCCGTGGAAATTGGGCTCGAAAGCCCTCATCAGTAATTTCAGTTGAAAACAGCAAAGGAATAAATAAAAAATGTTGGCGATGATAACATGTTAAATTTCCAATGAAAATTTGATCGGTGGTTTTATAACTCGAAACTCCTCTCTTCAACCACGTTTATTCTTCTCACTTGATTTCAATTCAAGCCCTAGCAAGTAATTTAATTTAAACCTCTGAAATCGGAGAACCCAACTCGCCACCGTCGGCACAAGCTTTGTCCCCTGGCTCCGTTTCCTATCGAGCTTCGCCCCTCCAAACAAGTAAATTCACTACTTTGTGCTTAGAGTTAGTTTATTGAATTTTGTTTTTAGTTTTTGTATTTTGATTGTGTGTTTAAGTGTCTTGAATTTTTAAAGTGATAGTTTTGTTGTATTGGTATATAATTTGTATTTAAAAAAATTTTATGAATCAAGGGGTGTATTTAATTTGTCATGAAGTTGAATGTGATTGTGTAATACTAGTGTGTTAAAATTAAAGAAAAAACGAGTAATTTAAAATAAGTATAGATTATTTTATGAGTTGGACGAAAATCTAGAGGAAATTGATTACGTGCAGGGTTGATAATAATTAAAGTGGCAACCCAAGCTGAATGGTTTGAGTTTAAGAAGTGATAAATAAATGGTAACAATTAAAGTACTGCTCAAAGACACTATCAAGATATTAAATTTCATGCTGTTTATGATAGTTATTCATGACAGTAAAAGTGATAATGATGATTATGATAATAATATTTATAACAATGATTATGATAATTAATAATGTTGGTGATTTTGATGATAGTTATTATGATAATAATAATATTAGTAATGGTTATAACATTTTTTGTTTTATTAACGTGGGTGTTCGGATCAGCGTACGCGCACCACGACTAATCCTATGGTCCACTGAACATCCTGCAATAATCGGTGAGGAAAGTGGTTAGATGACGACAATAACTAATGGTCGTGGTGGCAACATGATAATTATTATATTGATGATAGTGGTATATTAAAACTACCTGAAGAGATAAAATGATAATTATATTAATAAAAAGTAATAATAATAGTGCAATAATAATAATAATTATCCTCATAATAATATTGGTATATTAGTGATAGGTAAAATGAGTAATGGATGGTGTATTAAAAGGTGGAAGGTTAACTATAATTATTTTTTACTAAATAACCAAGCTCATATTTAGTGTCAAGTTTTAATTTTTAAACCATGTTCATCGTTTCTTTTTAGGTACATGGATGATCCAGCCATCAAATAAAATAGACCAGGCATCCCGTATTCCACGAATTCCATCCAAGACAATTTGATATTAGGTTGGAGATGCATTTTTTCCATTTTTTTTTTGTTGTGATGTAATGTTATTTGTTTTTTATTGAGTTAATTTATTGTATTGCTCATTTATATATTTTTTAAAATTATTTATATATAAATTTTTTTGTTCTATTTAAAAAAAATATTTTTTTATTTTTTAAAAAACATATTTTATGAATCTAGATAAGAAAATAAAACTCTAGATATCATAAATTTTTATAAAAAATACACTCTTTAACTTGCATTCTATATCTACTAAATAAATCTCAAGTTTTTTTTATCATTATATCATATTTTAAAACTCCATTTATTTCGTTAATATTCACTATCTATACTGATTTGGTATTTAAATATTCAAACCATGAAAACCCGCAGATCTACATAATTTATCCAGCATTGTTTAGATGAAAAGTTAATAATAAGTCGTGGATCTTTGCTGGTTTTTCAAATTCACGAGATTTTGTTTGTCATGTTTATGGGTTTATCGTGAGCAGCTGTCGGCTCAGAGAACATGGATTTTAAAAAAAGTAGTAATGGAATATTATGTCAGTATAAAAAATTGCCGACGGGATAAAAACTCTGACGAGAAAGTTTTGACAACAGTGTTTCATTCTACCACTGACAAGATTTTCTCCGAACACTGGCGGCAGTGTCCAGTTTTCATAGTTTGAATATTTAAATACCTTTTTTCACATGTAAACAACATATCAATCCAAAAGCCTGTCTGTCGGTTATTTACGAAGTTGCATTCAGGTACACTCAGTGCTAGAGAAATTGTTTAAAATAAAAACAAATAAAGAGTTCACTTATAAGAGTAAAGATATTTATTTATTTCAAGCAAAAATAACACTTTTAAAAACCATTTAAAAAATTAAGAATAAAAGACAAAAATATTTTTTTGGTATAGATGATTCTATATGTTGTAATAAGTTTTATTAGTCTTGAAAACATTATAGTAAAACATTATATATTTTAATATTATAAATGTTAATGAAATTATATAGCTATTGATGAAACAATTATATTTTAAATTAAATTAAATAATTGTTATTTAATTTTATTCTAACAATAATGAATGTTAAAATTAATTACGAGAATTAAATAATAAATTAAAAAATCAAACTTAATTATTATTATTAAATTTTATTTTAATAATCATAAATATTAAAATTAATCACGAGAATTAAAGTGTTGAGTTTGATC